TATATATTGATCAAGCTACTCCGCCTAACTCTATTGAATCGTCAAATAGAAAACGACGTCAAGATACCAAAAATTTTAGGCAACAAACACAAACACCGCAATTGAAGATGACTACCACTTGAACAACATTTTAAAATTTTCTTTAAAAATATTATGTAGAAATTTCAAAAGAAAATTAATATATACACAAAATACATGTATAATTGCCCATTAAAAAAAAAAAAATCTCTCTGAAAGTTCTAGCTCCACCATTATTACACAAATAATCAATTATCAAGTTAGTGTTTCCATTTTCTCAGGATAATGAATTGGGGGAGCATTTATCCTAACCCAATTTCATTTTCAATCCCAAATCATCTTTCTTAGCCCCCATTTGGTAGAAATTTTTCACCCTAAAAATCAATTTTTTTTTACTGTTATTTCACTATTCCAACCTTCATTTTTTATTTCTTCATTCACAGGTGAGATCCAATTTTCTCTCTATTAGTCAAAAAATCAATTCTCATAATCATTATCAACACGATGCTGCTGTGTAGCAATTCCTCTATCTTCATCTATTTTCGCCATTGTTCAATCTCCTCCAGTAGCGACGCTCCAACGGTCTTCACTACTGTGTAGAGGTGTTTGTGTAGTGGTGTGTAGATCTACACCGATGTGTAGAGCGTTTTTGCGGTGGTGTCTTCGTCTGCCGTATGTGATTTCCGACCTTGATTCTGGAAGACTTCTTTAACTGTTTCTTCTATGAATGGCTGTGGGGATGGTGGAGATTTATTTGGGCATTTTTTTTGTTACTTTTAAATTCGAAAATGGGAGAATTTAGGGTGACTAAGCTGCTGGTGCAAACACAGCAACCTGTTGGGATTGAAATGTGAAGCTTTGGCTCCAATCAGAGTTGTCGCAGTTGCCTCCGATGATGGCTGTGATTGTGGTGTACAAACTTGTTGGTGATGTAAATCTGCAGTTGTGTTGATCTACTTTTGAGAATGTGGTGGTGCTGGTTGGTGTTTTTTTGAAAGTGTTGGTCGAAATTATTGCGTTGATGATTGTTGTTGTGTAGTATTTATGGTCATCAATTTAAATTAAAGGTGTTAATGGTGGTGTATTGGAGGTGATGTGGTGGTGAATGGTGATGGATTGTGATATTGGTCCGAGTGTGTGTAGATTTGCTTGTGATGACCCCATGTGACCAAGTATGCGTTTGTTGTGACTATTTGTGACCAATTTTTTGTTGGTTGTGATTGGTTGTGACTTGGTTACAGTTAAGATTGACCTAGTCACATGTAGTCACACTGAATATAAATTTGGTTACAATTAGTCATATTAAAAACAAATTTGGTCACAGTTAATCATCGACAACATAGGTCAATGAATTGGTTACATACAATTGGTGAATTGTGATATTGGTCTAAGGTGTGCACAGATTTGTTTGTAGTGACCCCATCTGATCAAGTATGTGTTAGTTGTGATTGTCCGTGACCAATTTTTTATTGATTGTAACCAACTGTGACTCGGTCATAATTAAGATTGATGTGGTCACAGACAATCACACTGAGTATAAATTAGTTAATCACATCAAAGACAAATTTGGTTACGATTAATCACAGATAACAAAGATCAATGAATTGGTTACATATATTTACAAATTAAACGATCACATACAGTCACAATGAAAACAAATTTAATCACAAATGGTCACATAAAACACAAGTATAGACAAGAACAATAAATCTGGTCACGAATAAAATTTTTGGGATTTTTCTATAGTGGAGTATAGAGAGAAATCTTTTTTAGTTAATGGAGATTTTTCTATCGCCCGAATTGGAACAGTTGTTGGAGCAATCATTAGAGCGGTCACTGGAGAGGTCGTCAGAGTAGTTGCTGAAGTCGATGGTTGCCTCTGATGGGGAGAAGGGGTAGAGAAAAGATAGAGAGTAGAAAGAGAAGGGCTTGGATTTCAATTTTTGTGTGATTAGTTATATTATAATTAAAATTTTAATAAATTTATTCATCACCTGATTTTTGAAAGTTTTATGGAGTTTGTTAATTTTGAAATTTGTTTCTTATATGTAAGATTTATGCTCCTAATTATTAATTCAAAGATCAAACCTACAAACCAACTTGAAATTGCGTAGAAATTTAGAATGAGTTGGATTGATCATTTTGAGACAATTTTCAATTTTTAGTTTTCAAAAACACGTAAAACGTGTTTACTATATTATTTTCAAAAGTACGATTTTGAAAACAAGGAAAATTTTATAATATAAAATTTAAAACGACCTTTTAACGTTTTGAGTGTTTTTAATAAAATCACTAAAAAAACTCAAAACAAGGAAAATGAGTTTAAAATTTTTTCAAATTAAAATAATTAATAAAATCAAACAAACCTTACTCAAATACAAGTATCCTCTCCCTCTCCCTCTCTCTTATCTCTTTGCATCTTCCTTCAAAATGTCATAAAACTAGTTTTAAAATTTTTAAACCAAATGCGTTTTTTAATTTTTTTTGTTTTTATTTTGAGAAACAGTTTTTCAAAATGACAAACCAAACATATTTTCTATAAGACTAAATTAATCCCTCAAATAAAAAATAGAAAATAAATTCAAAACTGAAAACGCAAAACAGAAACGCAAACCAAACGCATAGTGACCAAAATTTTATTTATTTATCCATTTGTATTTCACGTTCTTTACCATTACTGTACACAGAGTATTTTTGTTCCATAATTGTCGCACAAAGCCACAAATTTTGTTCTCCCCAATGATTAAAATTTACCATGGCCACATATTTTCATGATTGTTAATTATTCAGAAACAATTGGCTAGTTCCACTAAGCTCTGTTTGGCTCCATTATTTTTAAAATATACCTTTTTCTCACTTTTTTGTAATTATATATTTTTTAATAAAATAATATTATATGTAAATTCAAAAAAAATTTCTTATTTTTTAAATACACATTCTCCATCAATTTAACATTTTAAAATGCATTCTTAATAATAATAAAAAAAAATAGAGCTCAAACAGGAGATAATTGTCATTAAAGTTTGTATAAAATTTCAAATTAACCATTAAAGATTTTTCCGACCTATTGAATTAATTGTTTGATCCCTATTATTTTTAAAATACATTTTTGTCTCTCTTCCTTTTAATCACACATTTTTCAATAAAATAATATTATACACATCCAATTTTTATTTTTTACTTTTTTAAGTACACATCTCCTATCAGTCTATTTTTTCAAAATGCATTCTTACATAAAAATGGGATTGTTTTTCCTGTCAGTAAAATTAACATATAATCTAACAAGACATCTCTTTATAATATGCTTTTTCCATATTTTTGACCCATTTAGATAGAAATTTTTTGATTGATTAAATATTTTTTATACTTATGTTTCCATCAATCAGTAATTTAGTATTTAGGGTGAACGTGGTTTGATTTGGACTATATTTTCAATTCAAACCATTTTATGCGGTTTAAAATTTTTTCAAATCAAACCATTTTATTTTTCGAATCAAACCAAACCATAATTTGCGATTTGGTTCGATTTTAATCTGCAGTTTACCTATTGACGTTATAGTAATATATTTAACCTAAGTTAACATATAAGTTTAAGCGAGAACTACATATAAGTTTAAACGAGAACTAATAATGTTAAATGTCAAATTATATTTATATTTACCATGAAACCCATGAACAAATTATTTTCAAAGTTAGATGCTAAAAGATGTCATTAGAACAAATACATATTTCTTTATTTTTATTTATCTTTTCTTGTTTGACATTCATATTGTCATATAACAGTTGGTAGAGTTAGAGTTATATTCTGTTATTATAGTTTGGTTAAAACCTCTTTCGTCTTGTTAGCGAGATGTTAAATAATGATTGAACGAGATATATTTAGATGTATAAAGATTGATAGAGTTTCCACTTATTAGGAGTTAATGAATTTCATTTTCTAACTGTTTTATGAAAGTAGAATGTAGTAATACTAGTTAGGGAATTTTAACATTCTCACACAATCAGTACGCTCCATCATTCGTTCTTTTCAAACCACGAACAAGTTGATTAATCATCTAGGCACACAAAAAGTCATTTTTTTAATTCAAACTACAACTCACATGTTTATAATAAGTTCAAAAACAACCAATAAAAGAAGAACAATGAAAAAATGGCTTGAATGAGAATTCGAGATTTACTAAAAGAGGAGAGAAATAGGCGATTCAGGTAAAAATTAGCAGACTAATGGGTAAAGGCAGCTGACGATTTATTCAATAGTGTCAAACAAGCATCAAATGTTAGGAAATGAGTGTTTATGTTAGGGCTTTTGAAACTTTGGACGTGATTTGCTGATGTAGTTTTGTTAAATTATGATTTGGAATGTTAAAAATATATGTTTTTTTTTTCATTTTATATGATTTTGGAATAATTTTAATTTAGTTTAAATGTTGAGTGAAGATATACGTAATGAACTTGTTAAACCATAAGGCACTAATAATGAACCTAATTTACTTTTCATAATTTATTAGTTGTAATTTGTATTGCTAAATTGATATTTTTTTCTGAGAAGTGAAAACTGTAAAATTTTTAAGTTAATGAAATAATGTTTTAATTAAAAAAAATTAAAAACGGTTCAATTTTATACGATTTTTGAAAATCAAAACCTAAACCATACCATTTTGAAACAGTTTGGTTCGATTTGAGAGGAAAAAATCACGGGTCAACGTGGACCAAACCAACGATTTCAACTCAACGATTTTGCTTTAGTTTGTCGTTTCAAGATTTTTTTGTGCAGTCCTATCAGTATCCTATGAGAATTTTATTCTTCGTATTTGGTTAATTAATTAAATCGAATTTAATTCACCCGGTTGAGTCAATAACTTGCCGACTATACCAGTGACATTCGAGTCAATTGAAAATTTTGAAAGGAAGAACACATTGGAATTGAAAAGAAAAAGGAGGGCCACATGGATAGTTGCAAACGTTACTATAAAACGAGCTGCTGGACGATACACACATGCCTGCCACCAAGAAATTCGCTGTCGCCTATTATTATTATTTTTTCTCTCTTCCTCCAGATTTTTCCGAAAACCTCACGAAAAAACAAAATTAAAAATAGAAATCAAATTTGGAGGCCCTAAAACACAGAGAAGAAACCACGCAACGCTCGATCTGCGAATCCTAGAAACCAATCGAGAGTCTTCTCTGACATCAGAAAAATGATGATATTCGTTTCCCTTTCCATTTGATACATTTTTAATTAGTTCAACGTATTTGCTTCTTGCAGCTTCTGGCCTAGACCGTAGAGGTTTGTCCTTTTTTTGTTTTGAGTTTTTATTTTTTTAAAAAATTTTTCGATCTGGAAATGGAATGTTCGGATTTTTTCTGTTTTTCGATTTTTTGTATTATGGTGGAGAATTGAAGCGGTAAGATGGGAAACAATGTTTGATTTTGATATTGGAGTTTGAAAATGCACCGTGTTTAATAGTTGTTTCATTTTGGGGTTGAATTGTCAGATTCGGATCTGCTTTTGTTATTCGATTGAATGTGTGAGTTTTTATTTTATTTATTTTTTCGAATTTTGTGGTTTGCTCTATAATTATATTGGGCTGAGTTTTCGTTGAAATTGTTTTTGTCTGTGTATAAGCATCGGGAAAATTATTCAAATGGATCGTTTCGATTAAAAATTATGTGTTCTTTCTGTCAAATTGCTTTTCTCCTCATTGGCTACGGCAAAAATACTTTAATGGGAGAAAAGCTGCTGATATGGAATTTCATTATATCATCGAAGATTTTCCTCTTTTCTATTTCTTGGCCTTCCTTGTCTCCTTGCTCTCACTGTCTTTTCATTGTTTGAGGTTCCCCTGTTTTATGCATGTTCGGTCTTCATGTTGACCTTTTTGAGATATGAATAGATTGATTTCAAAACACCATGATATTTACTTGTAAAGGAAGGAAGTGAATACTTATATGTTTTAATTTGTGATTACATTTTTTGCAGAGAGAAAATGACATTTTGGTGATTCTTTGATCAAGTTGAGCCATACCCCTGTGGGTTGCAATTTTCAAGATTTTGTTAATTTTACTTCCTTGTCGCATAGACTGACTCGGTAGGTTAAAATAACAATGGTAGCCGCTGCTGCAACTGCTGCATTTCTCCCAATAGCTTCTTCAGCTTCAGATTCCTCAGCAAAAACTTCTGGGGCACTTGGAGGAAGCATCCCAACAAGAGTTGATGCCTGTGGAACTGGTTTTAAACCAAATTCCTCTGCTCCCCGAAATATACAGGTTAAGGCCAATGCTCATGCTCCTCACAAGGTCAATGGGACCAAGGTTGGAGTTATGGATGGCCTTAAGACTGAGGATGAGGTGACATCATCACATGCCCCGAGGACATTCATAAACCAATTGCCTGACTGGAGCATGCTTCTTGCCGCCATCACAACAATATTCCTGGCAGCTGAGAAGCAATGGATGATGCTTGATTGGAAACCGAGGCGGCCAGACATGCTTGCTGACCCCTTTGGTTTAGGAAGGATTGTGCAAGATGGTTTGATTTTTCGTCAAAACTTCAGTATCAGGTCTTATGAAATAGGAGCTGATCGTACTGCATCTGTAGAAACTTTGATGAACCATTTGCAGGTATTGTTCAGAAATTCACTCTTCTAGTGCATTTTTGTGCCTTCTAGTTATTTACTGAACTTACTGTAAGTTCAGTATGCTGCAACTTGACGAGCTAAACTCTTTGCAGGAAACAGCTCTTAACCATGTAAAGACAGCAGGACTGTTGGGTGATGGCTTTGGTTCGACTCCGGAAATGTGCAAAAGAAATTTAATTTGGGTAGTTACCAAAATGCAGGTTGTTGTAGATCGTTATCCTACTTGGTAAGTTTCGTCCTTGCTTATATTTATTGATGATATACCTATCTCCAACTGCAGAAAGTATTTCTCCAATCCTAGGCAAAACTAATCTTGTCATTACTTGGTTAAAAGTAAATGTTATGTAATAACTCAGTAAAGTTTAATTGTCTTAGATATTGATTACTTCTTTCAGGGGTGATGTAGTTCAGGTTGATACTTGGGTAGCTGCATCCGGGAAGAATGGGATGCGCCGAGACTGGCTTGTACGTGATAGCAATACTGGTGACATATTAACTAGAGCTTCGAGGTTGGACAACGTTCTATTTACTTCCTTAACTAATTTTGTTAACGATAACTAATTGTTCTTTCAATGTAAATAGACCTGCAGCGGTTTGCATTTTTTTATCCATGCTTCCTGGAATGGTCACCGAGTATGGGGGATCATGTCTTTGTTTAAACTAGATTAACTTAATTTCAATGTCCTTAGATGCGTGTTAAAGCTATTGTCCTTAGATGTGTGAATCTAATGTAACTGAACTATCTGCTATCTTTTTCATTTTTTGAATTACCTGCAGTCTATGGGTGATGATGAATAAAGAGACGAGGAGGTTGGCCAAAATTCCAGATGAGGTCCGAGAAGAAATAGGAGGCTATTTTGTCGATTCGCTGCCTGTTGTAGATGAGGACAGTAGAAAGCTACCAAAACTGAATGATGGCAATGCTGACTACATCCATGCTGGTTTAACTGTAATTAACATACCCTTTGTCAATGGAGAAAATTACTTTGTTTATATGACAATTATCACTGCACATCCTTTCACCTATCTCACTCTCTTGAAACTGATCTATGAATTCAGCCAAAATGGAGCGATTTGGATGTAAACCAGCACGTTAATAATGTGAAATATGTGGGATGGATTCTTGAGGTAAGTATTCTTTTAATTATTTTAGTATGTGGGATACCCGTGCAAGAAAATGATCTCTGCATAAACTCTTGTTTTTCTAGAAATGCCATCTTTTTCTCTATGAAATGTGAATGAACTACTATTTTATAGAGTGTGAACTAGCTTCATTCATTGAAATTTTGAATTTGTCCTCAAACTACCTGTCACACTGCTCCTTTTTTTTTAAAACCTTTTTTGTTTTCATTTATATTTTCTATATTTGATTTCTGGAAAAAGGCAACAGTAGCAAAATGCTTAAGGGTATGATTTTTCTTTCTGTTTTTTGGCACTTGATTATTGTTTCTTGGAAATAAGGTTGTCAAGTACCTTATAAAACTTGGATGATATACAGGGGTGCTTTCATATCTTTTGCATAAATCTAAAATAAGCTGATTTGAGATATCTCCAGTGTGGGAGTCCACCTAGTTTTCAAAATAGCATTGCTGTATGGAATATGATCTGAACTTCTGATTCTTGCTGAAGTTCTCAGGCCTATATTCTCTGTTTTGGTATTCAATTTTGGAGAAAAGTCATCAGGCTAGATGGGTTATTGTATGGGTAACTAATGGGCAAGTTTTGGGACTTAAAAAGGTTTTTGGATGAGAAGAGTGCATCTTAATTGTAAATTCCTCAAGAATCTGAAGATAAACAATTGGCATAATTTTAATCCATAAATCTATAGACCATAGATAACACTATTTCTAGCCAGAGCTAAATACTCTTGACCACTAGCAAATGCTAAAGACTAAGTAGCTTATTTAGTGGAAAATAAAAGTTGGCTTTTTAAAACTGCTAATACCTGCTTCCCAGTCCAACTAGTTGTAGTTTTGAGATGCTCGTTTGTGCATGTTGTCTGTTTGCATGTATTGTGCATTATTGGTGTGGTAAGGTTACGTGTATGCATGTGTGGATACATATCATCTTTAAAAGAATTAATATGCAAACACTTCTATAAACTTGTTGCGACTTCAGCCACAAATTGCTAGCTGCTGGATGTTCTTTGGTCATAACCTACTAAATTTCTTGATGAGTATGATTGGATGAGAAAAAAGTTGGCCTAATTTCTACTTCTCCTTGTGGCATCTGTGAAGGCTTGTTTCTTGTTTCAAGGTGATTTGAATCTGACTGTGAGTTACTTTGGTTGCAGAGCGTTCCATTACCCATCTTGGAGACTCATGAACTTGCTGGCATGACTCTCGAGTATAGGAGGGAATGCAGGAGGGACAGTTTACTGCAATCCCTCACTTCTGTGGTGAGCAATAGTGTTGGTGACTTGGCAAATTCTGGTTATGTTGAGTGCCAGCATTTGCTTCGACTGGAGGGTGGTGCTGAAATTGTCAAGGGGAGGACCGAGTGGAGACCCAAATATAGTAGTAGGGTGGAGAGCTGGGGTGAGCTTCCCGCTGGAAGTGCTTAAGCCTGTGTCTACGCAGCTGGAGTGAAACTAGTCTTGTTTCTGTTTGTCACTGTTTTGTTCTGTGATTTTCCCCTATAAATCCAAGTCTAGTCTATGATATTTATTTTATTTTTTTCACTTGTCTGTTCTGCTTCCCTTGGGAGAAATAGAGAATCAGTATTGTCATTTGTAAGTACCCGTGCTGCTCTCTCTCTCTCTCCCCCCCCTCTCCAGCTAATGCTCAAATTTTATTGTCATTATTTGTAATGGAAGTTGTTTCTCACGAGGATGTGGTCCAATTTCATTTCTGCTTCACAGTTTTGTTTCTTATGTAATTTGTTTGTATTAAATACAAACTGAAGCTTGCATGCAAAATTTGATCAGTTATGCTTGGCTGAAATTCATTTGGGAATGGACACCAATACCCTATTCGCCATAAATAATTTGGCCACAATATTCATGAGCTATTATTATTTTCAACGAATTAAGTCTCTGTGTGACTGTCTCTAGGTTAAAATTATTTATTTTTCATACTTATTTTCAATTATACATTTATACAATAAAATATTTTATTCATAAATTTATTTTTTTAATTTATTTTTTATCACGCATTTTTCAAAAATTACATTGCAGAACAGGGCTGAATAAAATTTTCGAGCGGGGCTCGAATTGAATTGAATCAAATTGAGTGGTTTTTCTTAAATTAAATAACCGAACGAATATATGAATTGAGAATGGACATGTTTGGTTTGATTCTTGATTTTAGATCAAGAATCAAAAAAATCAAATATCAGGTGTAGAGTTTACACCAATTCAAAGGTCAGATGTATAATTTAAAATTTTAAAATTTAGATATAATAAGTCATAGTTATACAATTAATGATTACAAATTCGTAATTATAGTTCACAATTTATTTATTATCATGTATTATCAAATTTATTAGTCAAATATTACTTAGAGGTCACAAATTAAAATTTTTATAGGTCACAATTTAGCTATTGATCATAGATTTTTCAAATATGTTGATCACAAATTATATTACAATTACAAGTTATCAAACTTTAAGGTCATGATTTAATACTTGGTCACAGAAAACCAAATAATTGGTCACATATACCATATAGTGTGTCACACACCACGCCACCAACCACTACTGCCACCGTACTTGTGACCATCCTCACCATTCGAACGTCGCTAGCACCACAATACCATCACCACCGTCATCACCACATACCACTACCACCGTCTACATTACCACAAAAATATCGTCGCCAAATCCACATCGCCATTGCTAGCAGTTCCACGACCACATACATCGCCACTATCACCATTTGTAATCGTTAACAAAAACCACCAAAAACTTTGACCAGCTAGATCGACTTGAAAACCACCCCCAAAAATTTGAAGTGCTGACTAGATCACTCACGTCGACCGACTAGATCGCTCACATCGTCGACTACGAGGGTGTCGCACTGCGACGACAATGCCGTTGCTCGACTCTCACATCTCCAGCAGTGGCGCTTCTCAACGGTGATGGCGATTTGAGGAAAAGGGTAGAGAAAGAGACGAGATACGAAGAGAAGAGAATGAGAGAACCGCTGCTCGACTCTTACATCAAATGTAGCCTTGTAGCGGCGCTAGGAGGTGTCTCCAACAGTGGGCACTCCTCAATGATGATGGCAAAAGGAAAGGGTAGAGAGAGAGAGAGAGAGAGAGAGAGAGAGAGAGAGAGGAGAATGACAGAATAGAGATTATAGAAGAAAAATGATTTAGGATTTGTATGGATTAGGTAAGGTGGGTACCTAATTTTTTATTAAAAAACACACCTGATTTTTGCACTGTGATCTTGAAATACCTAGAGCTTTGTAATTTTCCCACTAGTTAATTTAGATCAAACCAAAAAAACATGATTTTTCCTATTTCTAATTTTCAATCCAAGCCAACTTAATCAAATTGATCTAAATTTTACCTAAATCTATTATTCTACTATAATTCCTTTTTTACCGTTATGGAGAAATAAAATTGATGCTCAACAATGTCTCTCTTAATTATTATGAGCTTACTATTTTTCTTGTCCTGTGATTTTAACAATTAAATCTATGAAAGAATCTTAACAATTAAATTTATAAAGAACTCAGCAAAGAGAGACGCAAAAAGATACATAAAATTGGATTACGTTATTTTGTAGGAGGTAATATTGAATATGTCATTAATTAAATTAATGTAACTTTGTAAATATTAAAAAATTTAATTATAGCACCGAACTTAAGAGCCCTATGAAACCAAACCAAACTAAGCCGGATAGAACCAAACCTAAACAGTTCCATAATTAAATTATGAAACGTTGAAGTTCTTAACTTATTTAGAATATTTTATTATATGTAGGTCCATATATGAAATACAACTTTTTCTGATTAAATTAATGTTTAAGAGTGGATAATCCTTAAATTCTAGCTAATTAAATGCGAAGCTTTTTTTCATTATTCAATTTGGAACTACTTTGAAATATTTAATGTGCTAAATTAGGCAATACAACTAATAAAAATTCGCCACAAAATCCTCATTAATTTTATTTACACCTTCAATTCAGTATACTCGTATTTAATTTTACTCGTCAAACCCGTTACTCTTTTATCTTTTGCTAGTTCATTTTGACGTTAGATTATTAAAAATTGACGCGTAGATCCAAAGTAGAAAGGTCTAAATTTGTAGCTCAACCATTCATGACCTAACTTCAAAAAAATAGAGCCACAAAAATTTCAATTTTTGAGAGATTAATTAGTAGGGCAGCCAAGTTAGTTGTGATAGTAACCTGTCAACTAATATATATTTATTTATATCACATGATCTTCTCTGTCTATGTCACACTGTCGTAATCGATTTAGGTCGAATTAACACAACGGGGAACCGTCCTAGCAATTCTCACAATTTGAAATCATTTGATCCATGAAAAATATAGGTTAAGAAATCATATAATATGACCAATAATTTAGCTAGGTTAATCCTTAATCTTGTTTGTTGGTTACGAATCATATTTATTTACATTTGGACTATGCCTTCTTCTATGTTTGATTCGAAAGAAAAATAAATAAAGAAATAAAATAAAATTGGGAGACTAAGAACGTCCCACATTTGTGCGCATTTTGATCGTCATAATTTGTGTACGTCAAGACTTACAAGAAAGTGCGTCGAATCAAACAACAATGAAAATTGAAAGATTTTCGTTTTTTTTTTAAAGTTAGGTATGCTCAATGAAACTCAAAGGAATTGACGGCGACCTGCACAAGCGGTGGAGCATGTGGTTTAATTCGATGCAAAGCGAAGAACCTTATCAGGACTTAACATACCGCAAATCCTCTTGAAAGAGAGGGATGCCTTTGAGAACATAGACACAGGTGGTGCATGACTGTCGTCAACTCAAGCTCTACCAATAGAGCTATATCCCCCGAGCCAAGTGAAGCATGTATGAAGTAGTCAGATCCTTTTTTCTATTCTTTTCTCTAGCGCAGATGGGCCATTGTTTAGGAGTTGGGTATGCTCAATCTCATTAATAATGAATTTCAGTTGATAATTGACTAATAAATGTCAAACTTATGTGGGGAATTTTTTCAACTGTTTATTTGAACTGGATTAGACTACATTTAATTCGACAATGAGCTTGTTAAATCGTTTCACATGTCATTAGTTAAACTTAGAATGATTGTTGACAAGTTTGTTTCTCATTACCAGAAATATTGGAAAAAGCTTACTTATTTACTATCCATTCATATTTAGTTTAGAACTTCTTTAACATGTTGCCACATTTACTCACATGATTTAAAGATGTTTACATTCCTAGTAGCATGCTTTGTATATTATAAGGAATGGTATCGAATAAAATTGGAAAAGAAAAAAAAATTAAATGTTGTTTGTTACTACTCGAATAGTACTAATGATCAAATTATACAATCGCGTTGCATCGACTATTTTGTGGTATGGCACAGAAAGTACGTTCCTAACTAACTTTAAAATATTTGAAATGGCAATTGGTAGATTAGAAGCACAATGACCATTAAGGGATCAAATCTGCATTAATTAATTAATTAATTAATTATTATTATTATTATTATTATTATTGATGGGTTTGGTGATGGAACCCTAGATATAGAGTTGGTGGTGTCCACAAAATTTGAAGTTTAATCGGTGATAATTAATTCTAACTAATCCAACCATACAAACAAAAAGGGTATTTTTATTCAGCAAGTTATACGCATAAGATGGAGAAATTGCTTTGCATATTTTCTCCGTTCTATGTGTCGATTGGACAATTCTTGATGACTATTATTTAAGAGTAAAGTTATTTAGCATTGCAGATACTATGTATAAATTTAGTGGATATGTAAGTATCATTAATTGATAGATCACCTTAAAATAAAATAAAATAAAAAATTTAATTATATTTAGAATATCCGATCATTTACATGTCACTGAAACCGGTGTTACATATCATTATTCAATATTTAATTCACATATTAGATTTCTTTCAAATAAAATTATTATATTGAAAGTAAAAGCGAACTAAATTTTTTTAAACTTTGTATCCAAATAATAAGTACGTTATAATCTTTATAAATAAATATTTTTAACACCATACAAAATCTTTAACTAAAAGAGTTGTTAATTTATAACTCCCATACATTTAGGGAACTAAGTATTAATTATATTCTAACAATCTCATCAAGTAGACACATAAAATTTTATTAATTGTATTTATCTCTTTATTTATTCATCCCAATTACTCAAGTTGAGACCATAAAATTTTATTATGCAAGAAAATTGTAAGCGGAATACACTTCAATCTTGTGAAAATCGGACTCAATTTAAACCAACAATAATCACCAATCGAATGAGGCTCGAAAACCAGAAACACAACTTCCACTTCAGTTGCTTTTACACCTTCTCCAATTGTCCTCGTACTAACCTTCAAAGGATCAAGGTGGTGATAGCAATATCACAAAGGGAGGAAGAAGAAAAAAAAAATGAAGCAACGGATAAATACAAACACACCAAGACGGTTCTCTCACAATCTATTGCGCGCGCACATGAGAAAATGGCTAAATGGCATATGTGAGGGATAAATAGATTACGTTTAAAGAAACATGGGCCAAACCTTCATAAATGAGCCACAAGCAAAATTGCCAAGATAAGGCCTAAATGGACCAACAAATCAAGGATAAAAGCCAACATACCATAACCAAACCTAAGCACAATTGGGCCAACAGAAATGGGTCATCCTCAAGTGAATTTGGGCCATGAAAAACCTTAATTAATTATGCTGCTTTCAATGGCCCAATTTATTTTTGGGTCGAGCTAATCACTATGGTGTTGATATAATTATCCCAACAACGTTTTAATATCGTTGTTCAAATCTATCGGATATCAAAATTCAACAAATCTCCACATTGATATCTAATAAACGTTACCTCATTTCTAGAACCTAAAACACATAATATACCTACTCTATATACCCACAAGCGCTAATGTCAAGGAAATCCAAGCAGAAACAGATAATCACATTAATCAATTAAGAGTGTATAAACACATTTGATGATGATATGATATATGATAATACACAGATATTTTCAAATATGTTCACTAAGCAAAGAACATTAGACTAACTCCAAGTTAATCTATCAATACGGACAACATATACAACAAATGCATAAATAATCCCACGAAAAAATCTCACCACAATTATCCTGCCCTATTATATGTAGCTCGCATATCAAAAACACATATCTCCTCTCATCGCGAATCATGCTCACTAGACTAATCACTACTCATATCTAACTGATAAACCACTATAGATCCTAAGTCCATGGGATGTTCCCGTATCATTATCTCACCTCTTTCAACCTAAGTGGATTATTTGTTTTCACCCGATCAGGATTCTCATAGATAGAGGATTCCAAATATATAATCACATTTCCACTTGTAATCCAAATATCATCTCCGTACTTTTCGTACATATCACGAATGTACCCTCAGGCATCCATACTCTATATTATCAATAGACGTACTTATTGCTAATGCATCCCAACTACTATGCATGCAAACACATTACACACGGTAATAAGATCACTCTCAAATTCATAAAAAATACATATAAACTATCTAGAAATGTAACATAAAATAATGCATCGAGTCAAGTAATCATTCATGCAAATGGGATTTCACACAAATATGGAAGTAGTAATCATATTTATTATCAATAAACATCACGCATGTCATAACTAGATGGAGGGCAACATTTACCTTACCTCTCCGCCTCTTCTTTTTACTTATTATTCTCATTAGGGCAATCTCTTATTAAGTGTCTAGATTTGACGACAGTTATAACATCTTTACCTTTTACTCCTGATTTAGATCTACCGTAAATTCGATCTTTCAACTTTTGTTGCCAAAATGAAAAATAACTTTTGCTATTAAAAATACTTAACTCAAAACGTGTTGTCATTTTACTAAAAAGTGCACAAAACACAAAATGCAAACAATCAATGACCACAAGTAACAGACAAGACTCCCATATGGTGACCCTAAACCTAATGTTACCCCTACACGATGACTTCTAATGTGAAAAGTAAATAACTATCCCATACAATAACCTTAACCGCAATAATAATAGAGAAAGAACACGATACCAGTGGACCAATTTGTCGGTCCGTAAATAAGGGGAGATGTGAATCTTATGCTTTACTGCTTTAGACCCACCATTATTCACACTAAAGCATCAAGGAACAAACTATCTTCAAGCAATTGCACCAAAAATGTTTAATGTGTAATTGTCTTGCATCGACTTGATAGGTGTGCCTTGACCTGTTGAGCACGACCGTGGTTTTGGTTTTTCCAATCGGCCTCTGGTTTGACTGGAAAACACAAAATAGTTACATCAGTTTTGTACTCCTTCAACAACTTTCATCCTGCTTCTATTTAATCGATTTATGGCTAGTTTTTAGTGGTTTTGCATAAGTTTTTTCACAGATTTCACTCAATCGTAAGTGAAATACACTTCAATCTTGTAAAATTGGGCTCAATTTAAACCAAAAATAATCACCAATCGAATGAGGCTCAAAAACCTGAAATACAACTTCCACTTCGGTTGCCTCTACACCCACTCCAATTGCCCTTTTACTAGCACACGAAGGATCAAGGTAGTGATAGCAATATCACAAAAAGAGGAAGAAGAAAAAAGGAAACAATGGTTGAACACGAACACATCAAGATAGTAGCCTTTTTCCTCACACACACTTTCAAGAAACAGCTAATGGCATATGTGAGGGATAAATAGATCAGGTTGAAAGAGACATGGTCCACAAGAAAAAAGGGGAAAGACTAGGCTTAAATAGACCAACAAATCAAGGTTAAAACTAACAACAAATGGGCCAACATACCACAACCAAACCTAAGCACAATTGGCTCAAGTTATTTAGGGTCGAGCCAATCAATATGGTGTTGATATAATTATCCCAATAATATTTTAATATCATTGAACAAATCTATAGCATATCAAAACCCAACAAGAACTTATTAACTTATAGAATATTAAATTGTAGATGTTATACGGTATTATGTGAAATCGTGCGATAAAAGAAGGGATTATTGGTACATTTCTCGTCGGCTACACCCACCGTGTATCTATTTCACGTACCATTGATCTTTTTAAAACCCACATCAAAATTTAGTATTCGGATGGTGGAGGGGAACATAAATTTGAGTAATGTTATTTAAAATTGTAGAACCGAGGTTACATTCCATCTTGTAATATTTTTAAATTTTCTTTAACGCATGCAGAATTTAAGGTTTTTCTTTTTTTAATATGCAAATGAATGTATATGTTATCCTTCACTGATTTTCATCGCCCCATTTCCAATTGTGAAAATTTTTGCTCCATCATTGACATTTATTACCATCAGCATTCACATTAGTTAATTTGTCGTTGAAAATATTTCCACATTGTTTAATGAAGTTGTGATGCATTTTTATTTATTGGACAATTTAACTATTGTCCGTCGTTATAAGTTTTGGCTGCCTCACTGTTTCTTACATGAATTGGGCCTATTAAATTGGTTGATATTATTCGGCCCAGTTGTTAAAAACGTATTAGTTGGTCACACGCTTTTTTCTCAACTTAAGGGATGTGATCAACCGTACACGTGGCTCATTTACAATCCTTGATCTGCAACGCTCCATCTGGATATTTTATACACTTCGTCGTTTCATTTTTGGTCGACTCTCCCCATTCTGTTTTTCTCTTGAATGTTCCTTCTCTCTGTGTGAGCTAAGATTTCTCTAAAAATTAGTAATCTTTCATTTTTGTGATGTAATCTCTGTTTGATGAGAGTGAGGGTTGTTTAGTACAATCTGTTAGAGATTTTGGCTACTGATTTGTAAAATAGAGAGGCAAGAAAGAACTTGAAGAAATCTCTAATTTCTTTATACATTTGTAAAATTATTTTATCGATACTAGTGGATCTAGAGCTATATCACGTCGGTCGATGCTCAACGGATGAGTAAGTCATTTGACTGAACATTCAGACCCTTTAAGGGTGAAAAATTCTTTGCGTTGTTGCTTTAAATTTTTCTGCAATCTCCTGTTTAAACAATACAATCAGTTTTATATGCTATGGGACCGACATCCTATTGTAAGTCTATAACATAGACCGATAATTAAAAACAATTGTGATAAATTGTATTATTCTTTCATTTAATTTTGAAGTTTATTTTTTTTTCTCTCTCTTTTTATTTTTTATTTAAATGAGGGTATAAGTATCTTTAAAATATCTATTTTTATACCATTAAAAAATATATATAATGTTTGACATGTGTACAAAATGGATGGGGATCGGTGATGAAGGACTTATTGCACACTTAATCATATAGTTGACATTGCTGTAAAAAGAAAAGAATGGAGATTGACATATTACAAGGTCAATAAATTCATGACTATTTGTGAATTTTTCAAGTAGTTGGGCCTTTACTCTATTTTAGCCCAATATTTTTAACTGTTTATGTTTGCGAGGCTCGTTAAGTAATTCGGATATTGACACAAATAACACTAAATAGAGAAAGTAACAATCCCGTTACACAAACGAATATTACCCATGTATTTACTTTAACTGAGATTCTGAGGTTTTATTTTAAATTATTATATCTCTGTAGTCAGTACATAATTCTCTATCCCTAGTACTGATAATTAATTGTGCAGCATTGCAATAATTTGTGAGCTTCCCTCTTCGGGTCATCCATGTAGTGTAGTGGACACTCGATAGGAAACTCGATTGCTACATATTTTAATACTTTATTTTTTAACTATTCAAATTGTATTTGAATTGATTTGATATTAACATATAAAAAATGTTAATTATGAGACAATAAGTAATCAATAAATATCCCTCAATAAGCAAAATACATATTGGATTGAAGAATGGAAAAATGAAATGTTTATTGATCAATTGTTCTCCAAAAATCGATGGTACATATAAATATATATAGCACCCAATGTTGGCGCCAAAATAACCAAGAGATTACAGCTGCTATACCTAACTAACCAGCTTTACAACTGAAATAACTAACTACCACACAATATATTTACATACAGTACTTTACATACGATTCTAATACTCCATCTCAAGATGTAGTATAAGTCCCTGTTTGGCCCCCATTAATTTTAATTCTATTACATTTCATTTTTCTCTCTTTTATTTTCAACCAAGCAATCTTCCATAAAATAATATTACACGTAAATTGAAAAATTTTCCTTCTTTTTCAATCACTCATTTTTCAAAAAAATAATATTCCACTCATTTTCATTTCCCCAAAATGGGGGCCAAACGGGGGCCAAATGTTATGGGAAAATTTCATAATCCCTACGTTAACTATGCTATTTTTCAATTTTAAGATGACAAGTTTTTAATTTCAAAACTAAGAGAGAGACAAAGAGAGAGAGATGATTTTGTTGCAATTAAATCCCTAAAGTTAAGCATCCAATTTCCATACTTGAACAAACTCCTTAAAATACATATTTACATCCCAAACCCACTCAATTATTCATGATTGAGGAAAAAATTGTAGATTTAATGATTGAATTAGTATCCAATTTATTCGATTTTGTCATACATTAAGGTCACATATCTATACATTTGGTCACAGATTCATATTTTAATTAGTCATATATTATTTTTCGTTCAGAAATCATAATTTTTAAATATTACAAATTATTTTACGATCACAATTAAAAAAATTTATAGGTCACAATTTGTTCATTGGTCACAGATTGAAAATTAATACATCACAATTTATGAATTGGTCACAGTCATTAGACGGTCACAAATTGATATTTTTTTAGGCACATTGGTCACAATTTATCTTCTTCGTCGGTCTCTATTGGTCACAGATTAATCAATTTAATGATCACAATTAGCCAAATAATTTGTGACCATGTGACCACCACCAACACTTGTGATATGTCACAATTTATGTATTGGTCACAATCATTAGACAGTCACAAATTAATATTTTTTTAGGTCACATTGGTCACGATTTATCTTCTTCATCAGTCTCTATTGGTCACAAATTAATCAATTTAATGATCACAATCAACCAAATAATCTGTGACCATGTGACCACCACCAACACTTGTGATGACCTCTGCCTACAATAGTTTCTCCACTAGAACCACCATCGCCACCCGACAGCAACACCGTCGTGGGTAAAACCACCACAGCAACCATAACACCACTGGCCATCCCTCACTATTGGAACCACCACCACATTAACAGGAACCAATCACCAAAAAAAAAAAAAAAACCAGATCGGGTCACCCATGCCATCCGACACACAAACCACCATCTACAACCATTATTGTCCTTCCCCCTATTCTCCTCCAGCCCAATGTTAGAACCAAAACCAGAACTCATCAGCCCAATGCCACCACTGGCGCATTATAGATCAAAAAAATTAACCCAAAATTAGAGATCCAATATTATCGGCCGACACCCACAAATCCATCACGCCGACAACAGATCCACAGCCATAGAAATCGGTGGCGGAGACAGAGCGTGGAGACTCGAGCGAGATCTATAGCCGTCAGTGAAGATGAGGCCACAGATCGTTGCGCTACCGTCTGGAAGAGACGGCACAACCTGGGGATGAAGCTGCCAGTGAAGTTGAATTTGGGTGGGGAGAGTGAAAATAAAAGCATCACCTCCTAAACCTTTCTTGAGCTGCCACAAAGAGAGAAAGAGAGAGAGAGAGAGAGAGAGAGAGAGAGGAGTGGGGAGAGTTTGAGGAGAGAGAAGGAGATGGATTATAATTGATAGAGAGAGAAGGAGATGGAGAGAGAGAAAATTGATTATAATTGATAGAGAGAGAAGACGGATTGGAATGAAATTCGGGTGTAATTGTTATTTAATTTAAAGATGAAAATCTGATTTTTGAACTATTAAACTACTCATATGATTTTTGAATCCTAGTTTTTAACTCTAGGGTGTTATGTAATTACCACAAATGTTATTTACACCCGTCTTGGATAATAATGGAGTAAGAACACAAGAAGTCAATGGGTTAGTAAAGGCATCTGTAAGTTGGTTCTTGGAATGTATTGAAAGCAGCTTGATAATTCCAGTAGCAATCTTATCTCGAATGAAGTGGCAGTCGATCTCGATGTGTTTAGTTTGTTCATGAAAAATGGGATTGATAGCAATTTGAATGGCTGCTTGGTTGTCACAAAATAAGACTATTGGAGAAGTAGCTCTTATCTGAAAATCCATCGGTAGTTGATTAATCCAAACGACCTTACTCATGGTGGTAGTAATGGCTCTATATTCCGCTTCAGCTGAAGAACGGGAAACAGTGGACTGCCGCTTAGCTTTCCAAGATATTAAAGAGTCTCTAAGGAAAATGCAAAACCTTTGGTTGACTTTCGTGTCAAGACAAGTTCCCCAATCTGCATCTGAGAAAGCTCAAAGCTTAAGTGATATGATCCGGAGTGGGCCTCATAGAAATAAATTTGGAAGAAAATCTTTCCTTTCACAAGAAATTTTATTTCCATTAGAATTCATAGTTTTTTGGTAACTTTATATTTTTAGGAGATTTAATTATATTTTATTTCTTTCATTGTATTTTCATGAAGACTTTGATGAATTAAATTGAGACTTTTCTCTCTCGAAGCTTTTGCTTCAAAATTTTGTTCTTCCATAGACAAAAATCGAATTTATCAAGATTAATCATCTTGTGGCGTTCAACAAATTGGGTTATGATTTTATAATTATCTGTAACCAAAAGGTCGGCATGTCCATGTG